GCAGTGTGGTCCCGTTAGCACCATGGTACTGTTAGCAGTGTGGTCCCGTTAGCACCATGTTACTGTTAGCAGTGTGGTCCCATTAGCAGCATGGTACTGTTAGCAGTGTGGTTCTGTTAGCAGTGTGGTCCCGTTAACAGCATGATGATAATAATGACCACGGCAATGGACGATAACTGCCCTCCAGAACCGGGTCCGGCAGACAGCAAACACCCAAGGTCGTAGAGTTCGGTCCGTGCAGGCAGATGTAGGTTCATGAAGATGGCTGCCATCACAGGCTTGAGCCTTAGCCTGAGGCTAGAAGTGGGCTGGGAACTAAACCACGATGGCACGACAGTGACACACAAAACTCCAAAAGGGCGTTGCGGTCATACCCGTAGCGTGGGTGTGCAGTGTAGGCACAAAATGTTACAACAAAAACAACAGGAACAAAAAAAGAGCGAGAAGAAGCAGAGCTCCCGTCAGTGTGGTCATACTGTTGCGCACGTGACGTCAGTGTTAGCATGAAACAAAACTGGCCATGAGTCAATCAGTTTTACAGGAGCTGAGCTAAAAGTTGGTGTGGTAGTAGCTGAGAGTCAGCTCCGATACTCTGAGCACAAACAGATCATTTGAGAGCTTTGTTCTACACCAGAATGTGTTTTCTAAACTAGAGTGCTTTTTTAAGGGGGCAAGATGATGTAGAGGTAGGCCAGCCGACTTGAGACCAGAAAGTTGCAGGTTCAACTCCCCGCCATTCCCACGTCGTGGTGTCCCTGAGCAAGACACCCAATCCCTAATTGCTCCCCGGGTGCCTACATAGCTGCCCACTGCTCCACCTGGGTGTATCTTAGGAGTGATGGGTTAAATGCAGAGAACTAATTTCGTTGTTGTATGTGTACATAGTCCAGTGGTGTAGTCTACGTGATACTCAGGCATACAGAGTGTACCCACTAGAAAAGTGTAAGGATTTCAGTAAACCCACTTAAATGTGCCCAATGATACATGACACATCATTAGGCACATGTCATTGATACGTTAAACAGCAGTTAAATGCTTCCGTAACAATCTGTTGGTATGCAGCGCTTTGCTTTGATACTGTTTGATAAATTATATAACATGTTTTTAATACGAAGCCAACAGTTGTACAACGTTTGTTGTTCATTTATTTAAATATGAGCATCAGTGAAATTTGGAAATGTTCAATACGCTTATAAATCTAAAAAATATATATGATTACATTATACTAACCAGCGTACTTTGTTTTCTAAGCA